TCCAGCACTGAAATTTAGTTTTCCATCTAACTGAACTCATAGTTCAATGTAAGGATCTGTTTTGTTGCTTCAACCTGGAGAATTTTGCCAGATTTACATTCTTGATGACTAATCTAAGCCAATTTGACTATTTCAGTGATTGGATTTTTTGTAGTCCCAAAGAATCAGAATTAGTGAAAGTCGACTCATTTTCTTTTCACAACGGTACCACCAAGTAGAAGAACTAAGAATCAGTTGCTATTCTGCCACAGTTACAAAGATATGTTACCAAAAATATGCAAAAAGCTAGTCCCCCGTTCTATAAACCAGGTGAAGTACACTGATGTCGCAATGTTCCAACATTAGGTCTCAGCAAATGTTCAAGAGAGTTGGTAAAATCTAGATGTATTACTTTCATACTCTAGAGCAGTTCTCTGCCTAGAACCCAGGACTTTAGAAGGCCTTGAATATCCTAATGCATACACTCATTAAGAATCAAATAGGTGGAGGTGGTCTCCTGGAATAAAAATTGGTGTGCCTAGAAGCAGATTTTAAAGGTGGTTGCTCTTTAGAACATCTTTCATCATATGGTCTGATCATCTTTATAACACCATGGCAGCGATAGCATTCAAATGGATGATACCAAAGAGAATTCTCTGGAAGCATTTATTTCCAGTTCAAAACAGTGCTTTTTCTGGTGTTTGTCATAAATCCACATTTTCTTCTCTTCCAGATGCCTATAATTGCAAAGTAGAGCTTGCTTTGACATCTGATGGCAGGACATTAGTATGGTGTCCTATTCTGTGGATATGCCATATGAACATACACAACCTATTCCTCAACCAGATCCTGTGCACAGTAATGAAGAAATACATGATCAAGTGCTAAAAACCAGATTAGAAGAAGAAGATGAACACCTTGAGCAAGGACCCATGATAGAAAAATTTAGCAAAATGTTCTTTACTACTAAACATCGTTGGTATCCTCATGGACAGTATCATAGACGTGGTAAGAATCCGAACCAAAAGACAGATGATATTGAGACTCCTGGGAGAATCAAAGAAAAATGTTATCTGGTGTCTCATTTGCCATTTGAGAAAATGCAATCTACTGTATTCACTAATATGTTATTTAGTAATATAATAAAATGTCTTTTCATATATTAAAAAAAAGAAAGAAATATGCCCCTCTATCACTTGGGATCTAGCACTCAGTGTTGGCATCCTACAGTTCTTAACATCACTCCATCTCCTATGCCTTTGAAATACAAGATTTTAGGTTACTCTACTTTCTATCCATGCCAGAGACAGAACTGTTTCAGAGTAAAAGAGAGTTTATTTTTTGAAGCATTTAATCCATTTGATTTTCTTTCAAAATATTAAATTTAAGATATTATATTTATGTGAATAGTTTTTAAAAATTAAAATATATTAAATATAATTTATTGAATTTTAATTTTGTAACAATTCTGAATATAACTTAAAATATGAACATACCTAATTTTTCAACATTCAACATTTATTTTTAATAATTTTAGAAAATAGATTGGTTTTTAAATACATTTGTGCTTTGAGTGCAATTACATTTTTAATAGTTTGATCAATAACATCCATACAACACAGATTATGTAACAATTTTGATGATGACAGCCTAATCAGTGACTTTGTTGAAATAAAGTCAAGAAAAAATAATTATATGGAATACACATGATTTAAAAGTTATGTCTTTATTCATTAATTATTTTAAACATCACTGTTCCATTAACAGAATACCAGACAATAATAATTAAATTTGATCTTCTTGGATATTTTACCAAACATGTCTTTTTTCTTTTTCTTTTTTTGTGCTGGTGATCAAACCCAAGGACCCATACTACCAGCATTCACTCTACCACATCCCTAACCTATTATGTCTTATGAAAACTATGGCAAAAAAATTGTAGGAGAGCCTCATTTTTACTTTCACCCCAGATCACTCAAATGCTTTGATTAAGAGGATAAGAATCCTAAGGTCAGGGACAAGGGCACCTTCAGAAGAAGGGTGTTATTGCTTAAGTATCAGGATTCCCAGTTTAGTCCAAAGTGGAGGTGTACACTGTTCTTAGTAAAAACAAATATCCTGAACTTCACTCATTTCACACACAAATTCATTTTCACATATATTATCCTAATTAACAAAACTTTGATGCTGATTTAAAAAAAAAAGAAAGAAAGAATGCTTTCAAAGAGTAGGAATTTGATACATCTTTCAAATGCTAACCAATTGCCTCTGGAGTGTGTATTCTTAATTAGAGTATTTCAACCATTAACTATCCCCAGGGTGCAAATTACAATTAAGGGTCACACTACATCTTACTGTTTAAGTAGGAGTATTTTAGAGTAAATTATAGCAAATCTAACAATCACCACGTATAAGGGCTTTATAAAGCATGAGTTCTGTCATTAATTAGCAAGTCTTTAATGTGTCCCAACGAGTCCTTGATTCAGACTTTGATCTAAAAGGTCAGAAGTCATTCAGTTCTATCCTGGCCTTTTCAAGGAAAAGGAAGCTTGACTAAATGGATGGTTAGCGCTTATCTGTGTATTCATTGATTTATTCAACTAATACTTATTGAGTTTAATGTATACAAAACACTGTGATAGCTTTGTAGGTGAATGGATGTAATTATGACAGTCTTTATATTAAAAGTATTTTCACAGTCCAGTATAAAAAGGCACATACATTTCAATATGATGTAATAAGTGCTATAATAAAGATCATCAAGGAAGATTTCACCAAAGAGATGAGATCTGCATGCAACTGACCTTGAACGTTAAGGAGGAATTTAGGGTATAACGGGGAACCAGAAGGGCTCTCCAGGAGAGGCAACAGTGGTGGAAATATACAGAGGTGTGAAAGAATGTGACTTGTAAAATAACACCAGTGAAGCAGTCAGGTGTGGCTAAGGCTAAGGTGTGAAGAGTGCTGGACCATGACTCAAATAGTAGGTAGTATCAGAACACTGAAGATCTTTCATGCCATCTTAAAGGTTTAGATTTAGTTCTGGAAATTATGGGAAGCCACTGAATGACTTCAAAGAGAAGATAAGGTTTTCAGATTTGTGTTTTAGAAAGGTATCTGTATGATTGTGGAGAAAAATGTCAGTTCGTTGAGTTTCACTCTGTGAAGTAAGTATAGGAGGTATTTTCACTCACATTTGATGTAAGAGGCACTAGATCTGGTAAATACCATTCCAAAATGGAGAAAAATCAACACATTGTCCAGAAAGGAATGTAGGTAGAAACCTCTGTGTAGTTCATCTTTGGCTTCAGTCTTCTTATCCTTGAAAATAATTATTAATCACTAAGTCTGGTTACACTATTGATACCAGATTTTTGCATAATTGATTGGATCAGAATCTGAATCAGGTACTTTGAAGCTTCAATGATTGGATGGTTGTAGGGATTGAATAAGAGCTGTAAAGCCCTTGTCATACATACAAGCTAATCAAATAGCACTTCCTTTATTACTTGTATCCCTTCATACATCTGATTTTGTTTCAGCGAACAAGCCAGTGCTGAACACAAAGTCAGTATTCAATCAATATGTGCTCATTGGAAATTATGTACATTTTTAAAAATAGACTATTTTACATATACCTAGGAAGGAAACTAATTCTATAGTGAATTATCTTTATTTGCAAATCTTATTTTTTGCTGACTATTGTAAAAACTAAAAGTTTAATTTTGCACAATTCTTCATACTTTCAAAGAATTTTTCAGCTATATTATTAGGGAAACTATGGGAAAATATATTATCTCCAAGGAAGAAATGGGAAAAAAACTTTGCAGATACATTAAAGAATTCTTCCAAATGACACAGTACCAGTGTAATTTAACATACATTAAAGTGTCCCTGAAGCTGAACCCAAACTCAGACTTACTTTTTCCCTGCCCAGTAATTTTTTTCCATATGCCAAACTATTTCAGGTAAATAAAAATGTACCTACAGTGTACCTGAAGGAACAATTAATTTGACTAAAATAATATAAAGTATTAGACAATGAGCTGGGCCTGGTGGTACAGGCTGTAAACCCAGCAGCTCCAGAGGCTGAGGCAGGAGAATTAAAGTTCTGCAATTTAGTGAGGCCCTTAGCAATTTAGGAAGACCCTACATCAAAATAATAATAATAATAATAATAATAATAATAATAATAGTAATAATAGTAACAATAATAATAAAGGACTGGGGATGTGACTCAGTAGTTAAGTGCCCCTGGGTTTAATTCTGTTACCGCCTCCTAAACTCCCCCTCATTCTCCTTCCCCCCTCCCCAGAAAAGAATTAGGCTAATTCATTTCAGGCTGGGCACAGAGTAGGCACTGATGTTTGCATAATTATAAACAACATGTAACAGCATGCCTATTACAGTGCCTGGTTTACAGTAATCCGTATTTACAAAATAGTTATTGTTTAAATTCCTCTTTTCTATAAATATTTTAAAGGAGTCGCTTTCCCCTAATTAAAATTTAAGGATAAGGTTCATTATTTTAACAGTTTCTATTTGGGCCTAACACATCACCTTGGAAAGCTGCCCTCTGCCTCGCGTGATTTATCCCTTCCACTACCAGGATGCAAATTACACTTTGCTTGCTAAACTTAGGACTCAAAAGCCCCTGTCGGCTTTTTGTAGCCCTTTCTGGCACAGCCAGAGAATTCAATGCCCTTCCCAATAGAAACAACTAAGCGCCTTCTCCTAAGCTGAAGGTCCGCTACAGCGAAACCTCCCGTATAAAAAGCAAATGAGAAGGCAGCGCCCCCTTTAACTCCCGCCCATCACGCCGGCAGCATCCAATCACTTTTCTCTGTGGCGCGGCCGGGGCCTAGGACTGGCTCCGCGGAGGACCGGCGCGAGACCAGCGCGCATGGGCGGAGCACAGAGATTTGTCTGTCACGTGCGGTCGCCGGGCCTCCCAGCCTAGCTGAGCACCCGGCGGGGCTGGGTGGGGGGCGGGGCCCGAGAGCTGCTGCGCCTGCGTGGTGGGCGTTCTCGGGGAGCAGCTGCTGCCGCCGCCGCCTCCGCCAGCACCACCACCACCACCACCACCGCCGCCGCTGCGTTCGGGTGTAGAATTCGGAATTCCTGCGTCTGGTTAACAATGAAGCAGAGTTCGAACGTGCCGGCTTTCCTCAGCAAGCTGTGGACTCTTGTGGAGGAAACCCACACCAACGAGTTCATCACCTGGAGCCAGGTATGGTCGGGCCACCGCGGCCTCCGAACCGCCCCCTCCCGCTCCCTCCCACGGGGTTGTCCCTCGCGGCCTGCGGCTCGACGCTCCCTGCCAGGCCCGCGGCGCGCGGCGGCTGTGCGGCACCGCGCGCGGCCTTTGCGCGCAGCCTCTAGAGGACCCCTGGTATTGTTCACGAGGGGAGCTGGGGCCCGGCCGCGCCGCTCGCCGCGGGCCGCGGTGGGGGAGGGGCGGCCCGTAACGGTCCGGCCGGGTCGCGTTCCGAACCGGCCCCGCGCAGCCTAGGCAGTCGACGTACCTAGGGCGCGGGAGCCACGTTATTGCACACTCATCCTCCATCCGGCTCGGGTAGGGATCGGAACCCGGAGATCCAGGCCGGGCTCTTCGGCGCGGGGTTAGCTGGGGAAATCTGTACCCTAGCGACCTGACCACACGCACACACCCCTCGCTTTGCATCTGGGATCTTTTATGAGGAGAGCTGTCGGGGGAGTAGGTGGATGTTCAGACGCAGGCTATTTATTATCAATGGCTTTTTCAAACATTAAATAGAAAATGGCAAAGTATTCTTTGGAGACGGGCCATTTGTGTAATCGGGTATTTTATAATTATGATAATGAAAGTGCTAATAGACCGTGTTCAGTAACTTGATGAGGAGCTAAGGGTGAATTACTAAATTTCCCCAAACAGTTGCCCGCAGAATGGTATATGGGTGCCTAGATTATTTGATCATGACTCTGCTTCCAAACAAGGATAACCCCACTCAAGCCTCTTATCCAGTCTGGTCTAAGTTTCTCTGTGCATAAGATGGATGGATGGGTTGCCTCCATGACCCGAGACCCTTTCTAGTTCCAAACACAAAGATTCTAGACAGAATGATTATTAACATCGACACTACGTTTACTTTAGTAGACACTTGGATTATTGGAATCAATTTATGAGGCATTTTGGGTTTTTCTTAACTGTAGATGATCACTTAGTTGGGAATATTTTCATGTATGGAGTTTTTGAGAACAAGTCAAAACTACCAGCATAATGCCTGACACCTGTTACATGCTAAATAAATGTTGTCTCCTTTTTTTTTTCTTTCTTTTTCTTTTTATTAATAGTTTTCAATTTTATTTTTAATAGTGTACCATATCAAGCATATGAGATTTTGACTATTCTTAGTGTCATTTATTCATTTTTAAACTTTCTAGTGTTTAATTTTCTTGTGTTGTCAACTGGATTTTTTTTTAAACCCTTCTGGGTGAAGCTGTGCGTATTAAGCATTTGATGAATTCTGTACAGTTGTGCAAGGAAAGGTGAAAATAAGAAAGCCAGCCACTAGGATGTACTTAAAATAAACAGATGTCTCATGCTTTTCATCAGTCAGAAGGATTAAAAGTTGACAAGGATGGATCAGCACAGACTGTTACTCATCTATGTATTCATGTTAGAAATTGGATGAGGTACTCTTTCTGCCTGAGCTGACTTTATCATACCTTTTTGACTTGGAAAAGCCTTGTTTGTACTACTTAGAAATGGTACCTAAATATGTTGGTAATTGGTTTTAATAAAAGGTTATTATTATGTTAGTGGCAAGTCCAATAAATTCTCATAAGCCCAATATATTAATAACATTGTTATTTTCTCTGCAGTATCAAATGCAGAGTTTCATACTCATCCACAAATACTTAATTTCATGAATTTTAAGGCAAAGAAATAAGACAGTAATTTTTTATTCCATTATTAAATTATTAAGTCTTAGCTTTTTTTTTTTTTTTTTCCTTTCTGCACAGGGGATTGAACCCACGGGCATTTAATTGCTAAGCCATATCCCCAGCCCTTTTTATTTTTTATTTTGAGACTGGGTCTCAAAAGTTGCTGAAGCTGGCTTTGAATTTGCAGCCCTCCTCCCTCAGCCTCCTGAGTCACTGGGATTACAGGCGTGCGACACTGTGCCCAGCTTAGTGTATATTTTAACTACTCATTTTTTCTAATATACCAGTAGGAAAATGAAAATGAACTCAGGTCTGTGTCTGTGCCAGAGTTACAATAGGTGTTTAATGTTTGATGAATGAGTGAAATCCCTGTGCTAGTGGTAGAAATGATAAAGAACATTTGAAAAGAATTTTAGAAATCATCTAGTTTAACTCCATCTCACCCACCATAATTGAGGATTCTAGGCTTAGACAGGTTGGATTACTTAGCTATAGTTACACAGCCAGTCAAGATTGGAGATCAGCCTCTTAACATAGATTTCTGATCCCCAAGGTCAATCTTCTAACATAGATTTCTGAGCTCCAAGATCAATATTCCACCAACTGTACTAAAATTAATATAGGGATTAGCACCATATTTAATTTTTATTTTATTTTTTTGGTACCGAGTATTGAACCCAGAAGCACTCAACTGCTGAACCATATCCCCAGTCCTATTTTGTATTTTATTTAGAGACAAGGTCTCACTGAGTTGCCTAATGGCTCACTGTTGCTGAGGCTGGCTTTGAACTCAAGATCCTCCTGCCTCAGCCTTCTGAGCCGCTGGGATTACAGGTGTGCTCCACCATGCCTGGTTCCATGTTTAATTTTATACGAAAATGATGTCCATGGGGCTGGGGATGTGGCTCAAGCAGTAGCGCGCTCACCTGGCATGTGTGCGGCCCGGGGTTCAATCCTTAGCACCACATACAAACAAAGATGTTGTGTCCGCCGATAACTAAAAAATGAATATTAAAATTCTCTCTCTCCCCTCTCTCTGTCTAGAAAGAGTTTCTCTCTCTTTAAAAAAAAAAAATTATATCCTTCACAAATTAGTGGATAAATCTGGATAAATGTTATCTAGTACTAACCTAATAGCTTAGTGCGCCTGCCTATCTTCAATCTTGCTGTCACACATATTTTCTAAAAGCAGTGCTGACACTGAAAGGTAAAACTTTTAAACAGTGATGTTAGATGAAAAACCAAAATAAGTTACCCGCATCTTTTAAAAGTTGCTATTTATAGTTGTTTCTGTTTTATTTATTTATTTTCCTATACTTGTGCTGCACTTCTGTTGAGGTAATTTAGCATTTATAGTATCTGATTGAAAATCGTATTAAGGCCTTTTAGAAGAAGCAGATGTTTTGGGAACCAAGCAATCTTTTAGGCATTTTTTCCCCAGTGGCGGAAAATAATCTCTAACTTGAGTGTAAGGCAAGGACAGAAAACTCACCAGCTGCAATTTGGAAAGTTTGGCTTAACAGTTCTAAAGACTTACGTAACTTTAGTTTTTCTTGAAATTTGACAAAATTAAGTGAAATAATCCTCTCTTCATTAAACAGAAATAATATTGTGAATGATCAAAATTATACTAAATTTGTTACTGACTCAAAATTTTTAATAGGTCTTTAGATCCAAGGTCTTTAAGAAAAACACACTATACATATTTCAGTTTTTCCTTTATTCTCTTCCCAAACAAAAAGTTGTCTTTTTTTTCTTTTAAAACATTTCCCGTAACTTCAAAACTTCATATAATAGTTCTTTGTTCTGGTAAACAATTTATTTCCACAGTCAAGGAAAGAGATAGTATTTTCAGACAACCTAAAGCATGTTTTTAAATGTAATATATCCTAAAGAGAAGGGCACATGTTTAGCTAGGAAGAAACTGGGGAAACCTGATATTCAGAGACAAGAGGTTATGGAGGTTAAATGAAAGTTCTTGTCATTGATAGTGAAGTACAGTTTTTACTGCTATTGAATGTTGATAATTATAAAGTAGAATAAAAGAAGGAAATTACTGTAAGGTCAGTGTTCTTACCTTTGTCTCTGTTTCTCAAATTGCTTGAGAAGGATGCATGATTTCACTAGAGACCTCATACCTATTTGTTCCACTTTTTTGTGCCTTTTGGCAATTCTCTAGTATTCTCAAATCAGCACAGATGAATAAAGAAATAGGAGGTGGAGGGAGCAAACCAGAAAACTGTAGTGTTTTCTAGCTGTTTTGAAGGAATTTGAATATCCCGGCAACCATTGCATTATTTTGATACTGTAGAGTGAAACACAAACATGGCAAAGTAAGGGTAAAATCCAAATTAGATGGGCCTGCAAAAAAGTTGGAAGACTCATTTGCAAATTATTTTTCTTTGTATATGTAAAAGAGGAGTTAAATACTTAAGAAATAATTGGTGAACATTGAAAAGTTACAGACTTGTTAAAGTTGCACATTTATATTCTGGAAATTGTTTTCAGTGAGCCTAAAGTATTAGATTATTTGTAAGAACATTTTGAGCATTCTACACTAAGAGTGCCAAAAGTTTAATTTAGGCAGTAGCAATGGCTACTGACTACTATTGGAAAGTTTGCCAACATTTATGGGTAAGGATGGAGGAGAAGGTACCAATCTCTTGTCCCATTCAGTAATGGCTTTCTGACCCTTGTAAAATGTTTAGGGAGAAGGGAGAATTCACTGTTGAATTGCTTGAGCCTCATGGGTTTATGGCAATAAGGTTAAATTTTTGTACTCAAAGATATAATTTATTAATTTTAGAGTAGAGACTGAAGGAATACCAAAGTAGAGACACAGAATGATAGGAGTGAATGAGGGCTTTGTGTGAGGAAGACAATGCAGATTTAAATAAGAAACTTTCTTCTTTATTTGATATTATCCAAGAGTTGAGATTCGACAGATATGATTGAGTTTATTGAACTAAAGATTCATTTAGTAAGTTAATCATAAATATTTGTTGTGGACCTGTTAATGCCCGTATGCTAGGTACTAGGAATTTATTCAGTAGTGAACCAAAGTGCTTTTGTTCGTGGAGTTTACATTCTAGTAGAAGGTACTGATAGATAAAATAAGCCAATATGAATAACTGAGCAGTGATAAGTACCATAAAGGAGAGCAAACAGGTTAACAGTCTGTCAGTTATGATCCAATCAAAAGACAGCATCCACAGAATATTTTCAATAGGGAAAGTTTAATAGAATTACTATTTCATAGGAATTGGAGTAAAGAAAACTCTAAAGAATATAGGAGTAGTTAGTAGGAACAGTCAGTATTGGTATAGCTATGATAATGCCATAGTAGGGACACTTCCCTCAAGGCTAGGATCCTGGCCTTGTTGGAGAAAGTGTGGCCATATTTCACTGAATGGAAGAGAAGTCATTTGTGTTGGACTGGTGGAACTTACTGGAAATCTGACATTTAGAACTCTGAGCAAGGATTGATAAGCTACAGCCCAAATGCCAGTCATCTGTTTTATGAATTTAATTGGAACATAGCCGTGATCAGTCTATTTATATATTGCTTATAGCTGCTTTTTTTGTTACACAGAGAAAATCTTGACCTTATCAACAAGCAAAAAATATTTATCTGGCCCTTTTAAGAAAAATTCAGCCCCCTGTTTTAGAGTAAATTTGTTCTTTGGATTTCCATATCCAAGTGTGAATGTTGGGAGAGGTGTTGCTAGGGACATTTCACTGCCCAAGGGTAAGAGGGAGTGACAGGCAAAGTTGCTGTCCTTTGTTTGCTTCCTATCATCATGCATTACAAGAGCTAGGTGCTTGGAGAACCTGTTTGCAGGTTCTCTCAAATATCCTCTACCACAAAAGAGTTAATTGTGGAAATTAATTCCATGTTTGCAGAAGAGCAATAAATTGATAATTGGCACATAAACTGAGTGAAATTTGTGGATATTCGGAAGGGTGAGAAGGAAAGCTGTATTAAAGAGATGGCATTTGAGCAGAGACCTAAATGATTAGAAAGGGCGGATCACAGAAAGGGGGAATAGCAAATGTAAAGTCCTTGAATATGGAATGTTTAAGAAAGTAAGAAGGCCCATGTTGTTGATATATCTTTTAGAGACTAGGAGAGAGAGATCAGAAAAGTAGAAGCAGATGGCCTAGGGCCATAAGGTTGTAATAGGGATATTGGATGTTAGGCAGCTAGTTAGAAGACTGAGAGTTTTCCAGTGTGGTATTGAAAATGGTGGCTGAAACTAGGCTAGTTGTATTCATAGTGGTCTGAGAAGAGGTCAAATTTGATTTCCACTTTGAAGGTAGAGCTTCAATACTTGCTAGTAAATTGTCTGTAGAGAAGGAACAAAGAATTAACAATGATTCAGATTTGGCCTGAACAGAAATGTTGGTTGAGGTTACTGTTTTTAAATTTGAGATTAAAAATGAATCATTGAGGCTGAGTGCCATGGTGTACACCTGTCCAGTAGCCTGGGAGGCTGAAGCAGGACCATCACAAGTTCAAAGCCAGCCTCAGCAAAAGCAAGGCACTAAGTAACTCAGTAATACCCTGTCGCTAATAAAATATAAAGTAGGGCTGGGGATGTGGCTTAGTGGTCAGATGAGTTCTCTGAGTTCAATCACTGGTCATAGTAGTTCCCTCCTCCCCTCCCCCCCCCCCCAAAAAAAAAAAAGGTGAGAGAAATGCAGTGCAGGAAGAACAGGAATATTTCTGAACAGCTTGATGGATTTCCGTACCCTGAGATATCCAAGTGGAAATGTTGGGTATGAGTTATTGGGTATGAGTTTGGCTTTCAGGGCAGAGTTTGGCGCTTGTGAGCGGCAAAGTTATGGGGCTGAATGAATCTGGGAAAACTGATGCAGCAACTGGAACTGAAAGATTGGGTATTCAGCATCCAGAGGATGTGAAGTCAAGAACAAGCCAGCAAAGGAGTCTGAGAACAAACAGTGGAAAAAGAGGAATATCAGGGAGTAAGGTCATAGAAGTTAATGAAAGAAAATGGTTTAGGAAGATAAATGATCAACTGTATCACATGCTGTTACTAATATTTTTATATCAGGTGTCTGTAAGGTATGTCTGTATATGAATTAATTGCTTGGAATTAGAACATGAATGTTTTAAGATAGAGCACGTTGTTTCTCAAAGAGATCAGATCTATTTACTCACCTATTATTAGCTGTGCTTGAATTTCTCAGTTAATTTTCTTCCTCAAACTGTATATTATCATTCTTAATTTTTAACAATTAATGGATATTGTGGTGGCCGCCATGTCATGTGACCAGAGTTTTCCTCTCCTGATTGGTTGAGGCCCTGTCAGTCACTTTCAGTGATCTGACCAGTTTCAAGTGACTGTAGATGGTGGCCCCTATCTTGAGAGTAGTAAAAATGCCGCCAAGTGTGTCTTCATGCTTGGGCATGCCTTCCTACATCCCCAGGGATCTAGTTCCTGTCCTTGTAACCCTGACCCTCTTGACCTTTTTTGGATGGAAATTTCTAAGAACCAGAGTCCCCCCCAATAAAAGACAACTTCGGAACGTGCTAGCTCTCTCTCGCCAGCCTCTTGTGACATTCCTAGCTCTCCCATTTGGGGAACTTGAGGCTGAGGGCAGAGGAGCTTCAATTCCTGGGGCTTGAATTTAAAGGTAAATTGTGTGTCTGTGTTTTATTTGATACTTTAAGAAATTCACTGGAGCGACCTCTAGTTTAGCTGCCCTAGCTGGCTGCGGGCAGTAGGATATAAAATGTTTTCTCAGTGAGATTTTTATATTTCCCCAATTACTAGTAAGTTCTAAAATCTCTTCATGTTCAGTTAGCCATATGTTTTCTGTGACATGTTTGTTTTGTACATTTTTCTATTTGTCTTTACTTTTATTATTTGCAGGAATTCCTTATAAAATTCATGTTTTGGTTATATGTGTTGCCTTCATTTTCTCCCAGTTTGTGGCTTATGTATCTTCTCTGATGAGTATCGCGCCTTAATTTTAGTATGGTTTATCAATTTTTTGTGGTTCATGTTTTTTCTTTCTTTTTTGGGTGTGAGTACCAGGAATCTAACTCAGGTACTGAACCACACCCCCAGCCCTAATTTGTATTTTTTATTTAGAGAAAGGGTCTCACTGAGTTGCTTAGTGCCTAACTTTTGCTGAGGCTGGCTTAGAACTCGTGATCCTCCTGTCTTAGCCTCCTGAGCTACTGGGATTACAGGTGTGTACCACTGCGCCTGGCTTTTTGTTTCGTTTTTACAAATAAACTTTTAAGTATCTTGTAATAGCACCGCTTCATCTTTACTTTAAAAATCTTTTTTTTTTTTTAAATTAAGAGAGAATTTGACGTATTGGTTAATTTAGGGAGAATTAATAGCTTTACAACACATTTGTCCTCTTTATTTTAATATTAAAGATTCTGTGTATGTATATACTTGTGTGTATTTTAGGTCCTGTATATTTTTAAAACTTTTTTTAGATTCTTAACATTGTTTTATTGTTACTGGTATATTTTTGTTCTGTTGCAGTTGCAGGTTGTTTTAAAGGTTTTACATTTCACATGAAATACAAAAGTTTTAAAGGTTTGCATTTCATGTCTTGAATTCAGGTGGGATTGATTTCTGTGTGTGGTTTGAGGGATCTGGTTTCACTATTTCCTACATATTCAGTTGTCTAGCACCTTTATTGAAAAGCTCAGTATTTGATTTCCATATCATCGATGTTCCCACTTGTTTTTTTAATTGTAGCAAATGTAAATGGCATAAAACTAACTGTTTTTGCCTTTTTTAAGATATAGTTTGGTGGCATTAAATGCATTCACATTGTTAGGTAACATTTATTGCCTTCTACCTTCAGAATGTTTTTCTTCTTTCCGCACTAAACTCCATGCCCACAAAATAGTAATGTCCAACTCTTTTTGCCGTTCCTAACCACCACCATTCCACTTTGTTTTTTATGAAATTGACTTTTCTAGATATTTCATATAAGTGGAATTGCATAGTATTTATACTTTTGTGACTATCTTATTTCATTTATCATAATGTCTTTAAGGTTCATCCATGTTGCAGCATGTGTCATGACTAACTTTTTAAGACTGAATATTTCATTGTATATACTACATTTTGTTTATCTATTCAACTGTTGGACATTTTGGTTGTTTCTACCTTTTGGCTATTATAAATAATGCTATTGTGAGCTTCAAAGTTTATGCTTCTTTTTCTTCTTTTAAGTACATATCTATACCGGGAATTGCCGGATATTATAGTGATTGTTTTAATTTTTTGAGGAACTACTGTACTCTTTCCATAGCAGCCACACTTTTATATTCCATTGGCAATTCACACGAGTTCAAATTTCTCCACATCTTCATCAATACTTATTTTTTGTTTTTTGCTCTTGACCATCTTAATTGCTGGCAGCTGGAAGTTTGCTGGGGCCCCTTCGGCTGTGGCTCTCAACATCTCCCCCTCTCTGTTTAAACAACAAGCATGTGGCTTAGGGACCTTGCCTGCCTTAGGTTGTCCAATAGTACATATGGTCCTTAGGTACCATTGCAATTGGATCTTACCCGTCACTGACTACTGGTCCAGTATACAGCCACACCTGTGGAGAGGTCTTTGTACCAGCGGGGGGGGGGGGGTGAGGTTCTTTGCCTCACCTCTGTTGGCCCCCAAATTTTAGCTGGACGATCATGACAAGCAGAAGAGAGGAAGATACACCAAGCCAATTGACGGCTCCTTTTGGAAAAATTGTACCACCAATGACATCATCAGCAAAAATACCCCAACACTACCACAAGTCGCTGCACCAACAGATAGTTCACAATGCATACAGGTGAGCTCACAATGTGTCCAGGCAAGTTCTGCAAGCAGTTCAGTGATGGCTATTGTAGAAGCTGTAGATTGGTTTTATCTTTGACTTCACCAGCACTGGGATGAAGATAGGAATTCTGGCAATAATGGCTAAAGAAAAAATTATGTAACATTCCAGAAGGCACTAAAAGAAAACAATTTTCTTAACAATTTACATTGTCTTCACCGGCACTGGGATGAAGATAGGAATTCTGGCAATAATGGCTAAAGAAAAAATTATGTAACATTACAGAAGGCACTAAAAGAAAACAATTTTCTTAACAATTTACATTGTCTTTAAGAGAATTATTAAATATAATGAAAAGGAAAGGTGAAAGTAAACAAACAGATCTGTTAACCTTCTTTTTTGTTTACATATTAAAACAATCCTCAACAGTTGTTTATCCAATTTAAATTAAACCATATAAATCATGTGAAAAAACAAAATATTTGGATCCATTTTATCATGAGCGCTCATCATATATGATATATGGACATACATACATTCAAACATATAACACAAAACACAAGTGTGCACACATAATATAATACATACAACACTTAACATTATAGTAAAGGCCTTGTAACTTTTTACAGGTGAAATCTCCATTGCAATGTTTAAAAACTCTATAGTCAAAAAATAGAACTGATCAGCAAAACGTTAACCTAGGTCTGTATGAGCTCAAAAAACAAAATAGAACTTCATGATATGGCAAAGGGCAATAATAAAATAGATATTGAAAAAAGCATCCTGGTTCTGTTGCAGATGTAAGAATAGCCAAACTGGAGTTTTGGATATCAGTTGTTATGGATTTGAGCCAAATCATCTTCTTTTTGGTCTGTAGAAATCGCTTTAGTTAATCTTTCTGGAATCCAAATTGGCTGCTGTTCTCCCTGTGGAAACACATAAACAGACCCCCGACTCCAGACAATCACTGGGTCAGGACCTTGGTTAATCTCTCTGGAATCCAAATCGGCTGCTGTTCTCCCTGTGGAAACACACAAACAGACCCCCGACTCCAGACAATTACTGGGTCAGGACCTTTCCATTGTCCTGTTAGAATATCCTTCCAAAGTACCTTGGGCTTATGTACATTTTTTGGACACATATGCCTTTCCGCAGCACTAAGTCCTGATGAATCCAAATTTAAAAAGTTTAGAGTAAAAAGGGTTATTTTAAGTTTATCTTTGGGGAATATATACCCCTTCCCAATTCCTTCTTTTTGCTTTAATAAGTACATTTTAATAGTTTGGTGAGCTCTTTCAACTATGCCTTGTCCCTGTGGATTGTATGGGATTCCTGTTATATGAGTAATGCCAAATGTTGAGCAAAATTGTTTAAAAGAGGTAGAAGTATAACCAGGGGCATTAATTTGGTGCTGATAACACCAAGGTCGCGGGTTCGTTCCCCGTACGGGCCACCAAATGCCGCAGTCTGGCTGGGCACAATCAGGAGCCACTTGTCAAAAGAAACTAACTTTATTTTTAGAACCACACACGCCAAACAAAACAGCCTCTCAGGAAAAACCCTCAGAGCCTCAACTGCCACCACCGGCTTTCCACAAGCCTCTCTCTCCCACACAAGCTTCTCCCCACCTCCCACAATCCTGCTCTTGAGGCCGATTGGCTGGGTCACGTGGGCGGAGCCAAAAAAGTCCCCCAATGAGCAGCTCCGTGGTCTGAAAGGGCAGGGAAACAGCCCAATGAGCATCACCGCAGAGGAGCCAATCAGCTAGATGTTGCTGGGGCCGCTGTGAGCCAATCATCAGCCGGCAGCTGGAAGTTTGCTGGCAGCTGGAAGTTTGCTGGGGCCCCTTCGGCTGTGGCTCTCAACAATGCAGTATTTGGTGTCAGGTAGATATCAAAAAATTTAATTGCAGTTTGATACTTAATTGCAATTTGTTGTTGTTGTTGCCATTATCAGGAATAGAATTTTGATTTGAAGGTATCATGGAAGGACTGGTCAGGACAGGTTTGGGATTCATATATATGAGTGTGCCAGAGAACCTTAACTAATTGACCTTTTCTGGTTTTCTTTAGAATGGCCAAAGTTTTCTGGTCTTGGATGAACAAAGATTTGCAAAAGAAATTCTTCCAAAATACTTCAAGCACAATAACATGGCAAGCTTTGTAAGGCAACTAAATATGTGTAAGTATGGACAGCAGTTTATTTGTTCTGCTAACCAATTACTGATTAAACCATTTTTTTCTCATTAAGATGATAAAGGAAAATTCCACACAAGCATTGTGACTTTTTGACTGTTGTCTAATTCCAGTGAGTAAATTTTCAATTTTTTTCAGATGGTTTCCGTAAAGTAGTACATATTGACTCTGGAATAGTAAAGCAGGAAAGAGATGGTCCTGTTGAATTTCAGCATCCTTACTTCAAACAAGGCCAGGATGACTTGTTGGAGAACATTAAAAGGAAGGTGAGTTGTTGTTAACGTTATTTAGCTAAGATTTTTACATTTATGATTGACCAATGAGTAATTTTAGCTATTGAAATGCAGAATGTACAGAAATACACAGGTGTTCTTTGGAATGAATCAGACCAATAAAACTTTAATTAAATATTCTATCCTCCACCTTTCCCTGTGTTCATCTGTAGTGAGAGTTCATTCTTCATTTTCTTGATGAAAGGAAAATGCTTACAACATTCTGATTAAGGATGAAGAGTCATTATTATAATAGGAAGGTTCATTCCTGTGTTGACTGAAAAAAAGTCCTCACTGTAGGACTTTTTTTGTTGTTTACTGATATATATCCATTGTACAGAATAAGTCCTTTGTACATGGTAGGCATTAATTATTACATTTTTGAATGAATATCTTTTGCTGAAATAAGATATTTTTACTAAATCCATAAAAGGGCTGTAAACCATGAAAGAAAATGACCTGCCATGTAACCATTACTGTATAAATGTAATTAAAAGTGGAATGTGGTAATAAAAAGGCTTGAGAAAATTACAGGGAATTTGGCAGAAGGAAAAGAAAAAAACCCTAAGATGTTACTGCTCATGGAAACTTAAAGAAAATTTTTTTTTTTTTTAAATGATTATTTCTTGCTTTCTCTCTTGATGAGCTGTGAAGTGTATTCTTTTCCTAGAATTCCACCCTGGGCTTTTAGAACAAAATCTCCCTTTGAGTAGATCACAAAAAATTCTTATAATGGGAAGCTTTGAATTATAATCATGGGTGTGCAGTGTATTTTTGATTTTCTAAATTTGCTTTTTGGAAGGTTTCATCTTCAAAACCAGAAGAAAATAAAATTCGCCAGGAAGATTTAACAAAAATTATAAGTAGTGCTCAGAAGGTTCAAATAAAACAGGAAACAATTGAGTCCAGACTTTCAGAATTAAAAAGGTAAACCATTCTTCCAAATATAATACTAATGTGTTGGGTGTTGGAGTTGTCTGGTGCATTGCTTCTTATTACTTTTGATTTGTAGTCATAGACTTAACTTTAATAATATGTTTTAATTGTGATGGTCAGGATCACATATGAACCTAAGAACATTAAAACAATTTGATAAACAAATATTACTGAAGAAACAATAAATCTTTAGTGTAGGAAATACATTTCTACTTAGGTGTTCACAAACAAAAGAGGGCACACACAAAAAATCTTATGTATTACCCATCCTTTCTTTTTTTTTTTTTCCCCCCTCCTCCTTTAAAATTCTTGAGTTCTATTAGGAAAAAGTAGGACACAAAAAGTAGGGAATAAAAGAACCCAAGAGATTTGCCCTACTTGATATTTGTTCTGCATAGGTGTGGGAGAATGTTATTTAAACCTTTTTCTTCAAAAAGATGCTTTGTTTTGTTTTATGATATTACTTGATAGGTTTTCCTAACTTACCAAAGTAATAAGTTTATATATATATAGAGAGAGAGAGGGAGAGGTATTTTACTACTCTTAGTAAGCAGCTGAGATTTTTCCCTTTAATAGTTTCCAAGGGCTTGAGAGTAGTTCCTTGATGTATTCTTCATCCATTTCAGATATGGACTGATTTGCATATTCCTAACTATATTTTAATAGTAACCTTGGGCTTTGGTTCTTTTTTTGAATAAATATAAATTTCTCCATTTTGCATATTTTATTTAATCACTGAAGATGTGTCTGTTGGCTATACTTTGACCTAATTCTTTGAATCTCAGTTTAGCTCTTAAGGAAATAGATCCCCAGATCATCCTTTAAGTGTTAGAGGCAATGATCTCCTGCTTTAGTAGGCAGATAATAGCGTCTTTAAAGGTGCGTCTGAAAAAATATAGCAGTTATTCAGTAAGTAAGTATTAAAGAAAATCTCCTTTTCATATACCTCTGTATTTAAATCCACATTTCTTTTTGTAATAATTCAGACTGAGAAAAATAGCTTTTGTGGAGATTAACAAAAGTTGAAAATTATTTAATTGGTAGATTATCTTTCATATCTTCTCACCATTTTCACTCTGCTAATGACAGTGCAATTTCAATTAAGAAACGGCAAAGGAAAAGAATCTTAGTATTGGGCAAGTTATTGGTTTGACATTGTTGAATATCCATCTTTTAAAAAAATAAAACAGTGGTTTGCATATGCTTGTTTGAGACAGTTATCAAGGTAGTTTGAGAGTCTCACTTTAGTTTGGCTTTAACAGTTATAGAATTATCTGTGTGACACTGGGCAGGTTCCCACAAATTCTCTGTACCTCAGTGTCCTAATCTTTCAAGACAATTATTCCTTTCTTGGCTTATTTTAGAGAAATTTAAATGCTTAATTGAAACGTTTAGCATAGTGCCTGAAGCACATCAAGTGTTCAGTAAATGTCACTTTTGTTTCCTAAGGTGATTCACAAAGTCTAACCTCACTTAAGTGATGAACATTAAAAAAAGTAATGAACCACATTATCAAAAGGAGTAAATTGCTTGCTACTATATGGATATAGAAGTGTGTTTTAAGTTTTTTTTTTTTTTTTTTTTTTTTGTATATTTTGCCATGAATAGCAGATAATACATTTAAGAAGGAATGATTCTGGAGTTGTGTTGAGATAGTTGTCATTCCTGTATTATTGAACCAGCTTTCTGGTCTCATAAAAATACATATCATAGTGAAAACAAACATAGTTAAGTTCTCTAGGTTTGTATTTTTTAATTCTTTAGTATTCTTAATTAAAGATACTGGGGTTTGGTTTTCTGACTAAATCTTTTTTATTTTTTTTTTAATTATAATAGTGAGAATGAGTCCCTTTGGAAGGAGGTGTCTGAATTAAGAGCAAAGCATGCACAGCAGCAACAAGTTATTCGAAAGGTAAGAAGCTCTTTTCCTTGTGACTATCATTTGCATTTGTTTAATGAATGTGTCTAACACAAAAAAAAACCTCTGTTGAGTAGTTAGTAATTGATCTTAGTTTTTTATGTATTAAATACACAAAAGTAAAATTTTGAAGACAAATTAAGCCAAGTGTTATATATCCTTTTTAACAACAGCAGAAACATTTCTCATAGCTAATGATGGTTGTTCTATACTCTCATATAATATCTCAGTAGCTTTTACCTGGCATAACAATTTTGAGATACTTTATTCTTGGGAGCTTAATTAATACACTAGCCAATTTCTTATCACTTATTATTATTATTATTATAAAACAGTCTTACTGTGTTTTGTGGGAGATTTCCCCTTACTTTTTACTATAATAGGCATATTTAATTTTTAAATAATTTGACCCAATTAGGAATTCAAAAGGATTTTTCAGTGGATGCCATTATTAGTTTCTGCATAAAATCATAATATAATGATTACCATAATAAAATAAAATCATTAATATAATGCTGTAAAATGAATCTTAGATTTTATATTGAACCTAAAATGTGTTCTTTCTGATTTAATGTTTGCATATCAACTTTCATTTGTTAATAAGAGATGAAATATAAAAATAATTAAGGCAGCTATTTTTTACTTATGAGTAAATGGACTCTAAGCTGCAGGTTTTTTAATGGGAAGATGGGGGAGAGCTTCAGCTTGTTCCTACTTGGAAGGCCCTTGAACTAAAAATAGGTCTGTGACTGACAGGATCTGGGTCTAGTGGAGCAAACTTAGAGCAGAAATAAATAGTAATTGCAGCCTTTGGCCTGTAGTCAGAATAGATTCTTTTTTTTTTTTTTTTAATCAGTGTGCAAATTAAGGTTGAATATAGGAGAGTTCAAATCTAAGTGTTTAGTTTAAATATGTGTTTTAAACATTTTTATCGGGGTCTCTAATGCATACCCTGAATATCTGATTTAAAAGAAGACATGTATTTTAATATGTACTTTAATATTTTTCAGAAAACACAATTTTGATTAAATGTTAACTTAAAATACACCTTCATCTGTAGGGTTTTTTTTTTTTTAACAAGAATTATTAATTTAATAGTTACATTGCATTTCAGTTTTTCATAAACACTAATATTTTTTCATCAAATTTATATTTAAATATATGTGTATTGGTGAGTGGATTTGCATAATTCATGATGACAAACACTGATTTTTAATGTGCCCCTGGAATTGGCTCCTAAGTTTGCTATTTAATGTTGGCTTTTGATTAACTTAGTATATATGAGTATATACTAAGTATATAAGTATATTGAGGTACCAGTTATAGGAGTTGTCAAGTACAGAAGTTAAATGATAAAAATGTTAAATGTTGCTGAGCAAAGTGGTGGATGCCTGTAATTCAGCTACTCAGGAAGTTGAGGCAAAAAAGTTTGCAGCCAACCTGGGCAACTTAGGGAGACCTGTCTCAAAATTTAAAATAAAGGGCTGAGAACATAACTCAATCCATAGTACTGTTTTTGTTGTTGTTGTTGTTGTTGTTTTAAAAAAAAGTCTGGTGCCTTTCTGCTTCAGAGAAAAAGCACTATACAACATGATGCCAGTGTCAAGAGAACTGAGGAACTGAGATGTAGAATGAATTTTAGGTAGTGATTTTTATTTATTTATTTATTTATTTATTTATTTATTTTTTGATACCAGAGATTGAACCCAAGAGGTGCTCAACCACTTAGCCATATCACCAGCCCTTCTTATTTTTAATTTTGAGACAGGGTCGCTGTAATTTGCTGAGACTAGCTTTGAACTCGGGATCCTTCTGCCTCAGCCTCCCGAGACACTAGGTTATAGGCATGCCACCACCATGCCTGGCTAGTGATTTGGTTTTTTTTTTCTGAAATTCAGTCACTGATGTTTTTAGAAACCTGTGATAATATTTATTTTATGAATTCAAAAAATTGAAGTTGAATTGTTCCATAGATATCTTTAACCTTCAATGTTGCATTTTCACTGGCTGTTAGCATTTTTTTTTAATAAACAATTTAGTGTCTTTGTCATAGACTCTAATGCTGTCTTAACTCTTCAGTTAAAATGTTTTAATATTTGTTCATTGAAAAGTTGATATTGATTGTAAAGCATACTACTTTGTAGCCTTTTTTTTTGGAGAGTGATGTGCAGTTTTAAAGCTATAGGTTAGGTATTTTTAATTTATAATATTCTATTTTAATTATGTACGTATTTCATAAAGCTTGTGAGTGAGTCTTCTGCAGAATTTAAATAGTTTTTCAAACATTTTTGGCCTTTATTCCTAGCCTCTCTTTGATACACTGCTTTTTATAGTTGAGTTTATGGTCCTTAAATTTTTACCACCTTTAGGTAGAAAGTTGATAATGTAATTTCAAGGCATACCCTGAGTCACTCTTTCTCATGCAGCAGTATCACTTGGAAAGCTTACTAAACACAAGTATTATTGGGCTCCTTCCTCAGAATTTCAGATTCATCAGTTCTGTAATGGGGCTGATCATTTACATGTCTAACCTGTTCCCATGCCAATGCTGCTGGACTGTGGATCACACTTTAAGAAACACTGCTAAAAAATTTGAAAGCTTATTCATGTTTTGATGTGTTTTAAGTTTTTCCTATAAATTTAATCACATGTCAAAGATTAAATCAGCATATCTTGATCGTGAGCAGGGAGCTTTCACAGATGGGTCTCAACAATAATCTTCATAGAACCAGCTTTTTCTGACTTCATAATTTTATGATCTGTTCTGAGAGAACTGGCAATTCCTTTTGCCTCTAATTATATTACGTAGTATGAGGAAAATGTTTCCTGTCAAACACCGGTTTTCTCTTTTGCATAATATGATCCTGAAATCATTTTAAGTAAAAGATAGGAACTCAAAAAAAAAAAATCTGCCTGAAAGCTGGTGTGTTTTATTTTTTTCCCCTTTTCTATTAGTGTATTATACATAACAGTGGGTTTATTATAATGTATTCATATATGCACACAGTAAAACAGTATAATTTGATCGATTTCATTTTCTACTGTCTCCCTCCCCCATCCCCTTCTTCTAGTCAACTGGTCTCCCTTTTATTTTTTAAAATTTGTTCTAATTAGTTATGCATGACAGTAGAATGCATTTTGACACATTGTACACAAAAGGAGCACAACTTCTCATTCCTCTGACTACACGGTGCAGTCACACCATTAGTGTGATTATACATGTACACAGGGTAATAATGTCTGTCTCATTCTACCCTCCTACCCATCCCCACTGCCCCACCTCTCCCCTCAGTCCCCTCTGCACAATCCAACATTCCTTAATTCTTTCTTACCCGTCTGTGCCCACCATGGATCAGCATCTGCTTATCGGAGAAAACATTTATTCTTTGGTTTTTTGGGGATTGGCTTATTTTACTTAGCATGATGTTCTGTAGTTTCATCCATTTGCCTGGATCCATAGTTTAGCTATTGTGAATTGAGCTGATGTAAAACATGATGTGGCTGTGTCAATATAGTATGCTGATTTTAAGTCCTTTGGGTATAGATTGAAGAGTGGGATAGCTGGGTCAAGTGGTGGTTCCATTCCAGGTTTTCTGAGGAATCTCCATAATCCTTTCCACACTGATTGCACCAGTTTACTTTGCCACCAGCAATGTATAAGTGTACCTTTTCCTCCACTTTTCCTTGCCAACGCTTTATTATTGCTTATATTCTTGATAATTACCATTCTGACTAGTATTAGAGTAGTTTTGATTTGCGTTTCTCTAATTGCCAGAGATGTGGAACATTTTTTCCTATATTTGTTGATTGGGATTGTATTTCTTCTTTGAAGTGTCTGTTCAGTTCCTTGGCTCATTTATTGATTGGGTTGTTTTGTTGGTGTTAAGTTTTTTGAGTTTTTAATATATTCTGGATATTAATGCCATATCTGAAGTGTACGTGGTAAAGATTTTCTTCCATTCTGTAGGCTGTCTCTTCACATTCTTGGTTGTTTCCTTTGTTGTGAAGAAGCTTTTTAGTTTGAATCCATCCCATTTATCGATTCTTGATTTTAGAAGTCTTGTTAAGGAAGTCAGTTCCTAAGCTAACATGGTGAAGATTTGGGCCTACTTTTTTTCTTTTAGGCACAAGGTCTCTTTTCTAATGCCTAAGTCTTTGACCCACTTTGAGTTGTAGGCAGGGTGAGAGATAGGGGTTTAAATTCATTTTGTTACATGTGAATTTCCAGTTTTCCCAGCACCATTTGTTGAAGAGGCTATCTTTTCTCCAATGAATATTTTTGACTTCTTTGTCTAGTATGAGATATCTATTTATGTGGGTTTGTCTGTGTCTTTTTTTCTCTACCATTGGTCTACGCATCTGTTTTGGTGCCAGTACCTTGCCGTTTTTGTTACTATTGCTCTGTAGTATAGTTTTAAGGTCAAATATTGTGATGCCTCCTGCTTTACTCTTGCTAAGGTTTGCTTTGGCTATTCTGGGTCTCCTATTTTTGCAAATGAATTTCATCATTGTTTTTGTAGTTCTATGAAGAATAGCACTGGGATTTTTGGGGTGTTGATTTTATATCCTGCTACTTTGCTGAATTCATTTATTAGTTCAGGAAGTTTTTTGGTGGAATTTTGGATCTTCAAAATATAGAATCATGTCATCAGCAAATAGTGGTAGTTTGAATTCTTTTTCTATTTGTATCCCTTTAATTTCTTTTGTCTTTCTAATTGCTCTGGCTAGAGTTCCAAGAACTATGTTGAATAGAAGTGGTGAAAGAGGACATACATCCCTGCCTTGTTTTTAGAGGGAATGCTTTCAGTTTTTCTCCATTTAGAATGATGTTGTCCTTAAGTTTAGCATAGATAGCTTTTACAATGTTGAGGTATGTTCCTACTATCCCTAGTTTTTCTAGTGTTTTGAACATGAAAGGGTGCTGTATTTTCTCAAATTTTTTTTTCTGCATCGATTGAGATAATCATGATTCTTGTCTTTAAGTCTGTTGATATGATGTATTATGTTTATTGATTTTCGTATGTTGAACCAACCGTGCATCCTTAGGATGAACCCACTCGATTGTGCTGCACTATCTTTTGAATACAGTTTTGTATGCGATTTTCCAGAATTTATTGAGAATTTCTGCATCTCTAGGAATACTGGTCTGAAGTTTTCTTTCCTTGTTGTGTCTGTCTGGTTTTGATATCAGGGTGATACTAGTCTCATAGAATGAGTTTGGAGGAGTTCCTCTACTTTTCTGTTTCATGGAATAATTTGAGAAGTATTGGTATTCTTCTTTAAAGGTCTCATAGAACTCGGATAAGAATCCATCATGGTCCTGGGCTTTTCTTGGTTGATAGGCTTTTGATGGTGTCTTCTATTTCATTGCTTGAAATTGATCTGTTTAAATTGTGTGTGTCCTCCTGGTTCAGTTTGGGTAGATCATATGTCTCTAGAAATTTGTCGATGTCTTTAAGTGTTGAGAGCCAAAAAAAGTCCCCCAATGAGCAGCTCCGTGGTCTGAAAGGGCAGGGAAACAGCCCAATGAGCATCACCGCAGAGGAGCCAATCAGTTGGCAGCTAGAAGTTTGCTGGGGCTGCTGTGAGCCAATCATCAGCTGGCAGCTGGAAGTTTGCTGGGGCCCCTTCGGCTGTGGCTCTCAACATCTCCCCCTCTCTGTTTAAACAACAAGCATGTGGCTTAGGGACCGTGCCTGCCTTAGGTTGTCCAATAGTACATATGGTCCTTACCCGTCATCGGATGAGCTGACCTCAAGGCGTCAGCCTCCTGTCTTAGGTTGGTACCATTGCAATTGGATCTTACCTGTCATTGACTACTGGTCCAGCATACAGCCACACCTGTGGATAGGTCTTTGTACCAGTGAAGGGGCCAACAGAGGTAAGGCAAAGAACCTCACCCCCCCCCCCCCTGGTACATTTAAGATTTTCTATTTTGTTGGAGTATAAATTTTCAAAATAATTTCTAATTATGTTCTGTATTTCAATGGTGTCCATCGTGATATTTCCTTTTTCTTCATGAATTTTAGTAATTTGAGTTTTCTCTCCTTTGTTAGTGTGACTAGGGTGTATCAATTCTACTTATTGTTTTAAAAGGACCAACTTTTCATTTTGTCAATTTTTTGAATTGTTTCTTTTGTTTTAATTTCATTGTTTCAGTTCTGATTTTAATTTTTTCCTGTCTTCTATTATTTCCTGTTGATTTTTTAATTTTTCTTTTTCTAGGGCTTTGAGATGTTATGTTAGGTCATTTATTCATTTCTGTTCTTTTAATGAAAGAGCTCAATGCAGTGAACTTTCCTCTTAGCACTGCCTTCCTAGTATCCAGAGATTTTGATATGTTGTATCTGTATTCTCATTTACCTCTAAATATTTTTTTTTTATTTCATCACTGATTTTTCTGCTATTTGTCATTCAATAGCATATTGATTAGTCTCTAGGCATATGAGTAGCATCATTGATTTTTAAATTCATTCCATTATATTCTGATAGAATGCAGTGTAGTGTGGTGTCTGGTTTTTGGGTTGGTTCTTCTTTTTTTTTGTATTTGTTGAGAGTTGCTTTGTGGTATAACATGATCTGTTTTAGGTCATGTTCTGCTGAGAAGAGGGTTTAGTCACTGGATGATGGATGAAATACTCTCTATATGTCCGTTAAGTCTAAATCATTGATTATGTTATTTAGTTCTATAGTTTCTTTGTTTAGTTTTTATTTGGAAGATCTATCCAGTAGTGAGAGAGGTGTGTTAAAGTCACCAGAATATTGTTTTGTGTACTATTTGACACTAGAAATTGAGAAGGGTCCTTTGTTTTATGTATGTAGTTGCTCCATTGTTTGAAGCCTAAATATTTATAATTGTTGTGTCCTTTGTATGATTCCCTTAAGTAGTATGAAATGTCCTTTCTTTATCCCTTCTGACTAACTTTGGTTTAGTTCAGTCTCTCTAATGTAAGGATGGAAGTCTCTTCTTCTTTCGAGGAGGTGAGTCTCTTACAGACAGCATATTGTTTTTTTTGTTTGTTGGTTTTTCTTTTTGTTTTTTAATCCAATCTGCCAGTCTGTGTTTTGGTTGATGAGTTTAGGCCATTAATATTCAGGGTTATTATTGATATGTAATAATATTATTGATATTACTGATATGAATAGTATTCCCAGTCATTTTGAATTATTTTTTGTTTTTAACCTGACTTAGTTTTTCCTTTGATTAACCTTTTCTTTAGTGTAGCTCCTCCCTTTGATGGTTTTAATTGTTTTTCTCCTTTTCCTCCTCATGGAATAGTTTGCTGAGAATGTTCTATAGTTCAGCTTTCTAGTTGTGAATTATTTTAACTGTTGTTTATCATAGAAGGTTTTTATTTCATCTTCATCTGAAGCTTAATTTTGCTGGATATAAAATTCTCGGTTGGTCATCATTTTCTCATAGAGCTTGATACATGTTATTCCAGCACCTCTGGGTGTTGAGAAATCAGCTGAAATCCGAATTGGTTTCCTCCATATGTAATTTGATTTTTTTTTTCTTTTGCAGCCTTTAAAATTCTATCCTTATTCTGTATGTTAGTCATTCTCATTATAATGTGCCTTAATGTGGGTCTGCTGTAATTTTGTACATCTGGAGTCCTGTAGTTGATTTTCCATTTTATTCTTTAGATTTGGGGAAATTTCTGATACTACATCTTTGAAAAGATTGTGCATTCCCTTTGGTTTGTATCTCCATGCCTTCGTCTGTTCCGATAAATCTCAAATTTGGTCTTTTCTTGTTATCCCATATTTCTTGTAAGTTCTCTTCATGGTTTTTTACCATCTTCTCTGTGTGATCAACTTTTTTCAAGAGTATGTATTTGTCTTCATTGCCTGAGGTTCTGTCAAGTGGTCTAGTCTTTTGGTAATACTTTCTATTGAAATTTTAATTTGGTTTATTGTTTCCTTCATTTCAAGGATTTCTGCTTGATTTCCTTTTCAAAATCTCTGCCTTTTTATTGAAGTGATCTTTCACTTCCTGTATTTTCTCTCCAATACCATTCTTTATTTTGAAGATCAGCCTAACTTTTTATCTTCTATACTCTCTCTCTCTGACATTACTTTTATTGTGTTGTCTATGTATTCTATTGTTAGAACATCTTGGCGCTTTGTTCCCTTGTTTTTTCATGTTGTTTGTGTCTTCCCATCTAGTGCTTTGGATCTGAGGTAGTACAGTTTGTATCCTGTAATCTTATAGTGTCCTTGAAGGCTTCTAATACCTCAAAGTATCTTCAAGGCAGAGACCAGCATTAACAGCACTCAGTGCAATCAGTATACACCTTTAAACCAAATAACTGCTATTAAGGCACTTACATTTTTGTCACAATAATCAGAAATGATGAGTTCAGTTATTGTGTACAATATAAATAGTAAGTTATCTAAAAACAGTTTACTGTTTCTACTGATGGACAGTGAGGGATAAAAGTAGTGTAAGATGTGATGATTATGAGGGAGAAGGAGAGAAGATAGAGGTAAAAATTTATAGTAAGAGTGAGGGAGAAATAATAGAGATTAGCTATTAGTATGAGAGAAGTGAGAAAGAATTCAGGGAGACAGGTGAGAGAACAAATATACACAGATTTTTTTTTTTTAAGTAAAAATATAAGAATATGTAACAGAACTGTAATACACTATTCAGACATTGAATTCCTCAATAAACTGATGCATGAAAAATATTTGGATTCAAAGATGTGAAAGAAGGGAAAAGGCAAAAAAAGAAAAGGTTCATTGATAAATTAAAAGATAGAGTCGTTTCTTTGGCTTTGAAAAATTTTCTCAGCTTCCCTTCTCCACTGATAGGTGGGGTTGTCTGAAGTTTGATGGCAGCTCCAGTCCTGTGGGTGAGCTGATAGCAAGGTGCTCTCACACCCTCTTCCAGTCTTCCCACCTGTTGTTGCCAGCTCCTTCTGTCCCCAGGACTCACTGAGCTGGAGAGAGAGCCTGGTTTTCTCCAGTTCCTCCAACCTGTACCTTCCCCCAACTTCCCCTAGTCTCCTGCTTTCCAGAGGCTTGCTAGACCCAGACTGGCCCACACAAACCCCGCTGCAACCTAAAGGACCTGGGCTTTGGCTTCCCCAGGCTCTGCCTTACTGCAGTCCCAAGGTCTCAATGCCATTTCAGCTTGGCAGAGAGACCACCAGGGATGTGCTCACACAAAGGAGCAACACTGCAAAGAGGCAGCCAGATGGCAGTCATTAGCACACCCAACAGAAAGATCTCAGGTACAACCAGACATGCAGGTACCCCAACAATATATCTCCAGGTCCTGGAGGGTGTCCCAAAATGGCAGCGGCCATGTGCAACAGCTTACGGGTACTGTGACAGTGGACCTCCAGGCAGCAGGGGCCAGTGGGTAGTCTGTGGGCGCTCTGTAGGCTAAGGGTTGGCAATCTGCCAGCGGATGTTGGGCAGTGGGGGATAGGCAGGCAAATAATTGGTGGACTATAAGCAGCAGTCAGTGATCTGTGCTCTAAAGGCGATATGCTAGTGGGTGATTGCGATGAACAAATGAGGGGTAAGCAGCAGGGAATCAGAATTCAAGCAGTATTTCCTCTGCTTAAATCCCAAGTCACGGAGGGACAAGGAATGCAGCCTCTCTCTAGTTCGCCATCTTGGCAAGCTGGTGTGTTTCTTTATACATAAGTTGTGAGATACATCTAAATTTCAAATGTTAAGACGTGAGAAAATTATGTGACTTAGAATAGAGGACATTTATCATCTGATTAAGTTTTCTAAAACTTAGTAATGTGGACTAAAAAGTTAAAAGAGTGATGGAAACATTTTTATTCATGTTTTCCTTTCAGATTGTCCAATTTATTGTTACATTGGTTCAGAATAACCAACTTGTGAGTTTAAAACGCAAAAGGTAAGTTTTTATGATAAAACATTTTGAACCATAAATAGGCATTTTATTTTTTAACCATGAATGGTCTAAGTATATTCCTAATGAACCAAAGAATAGTCCTCCCTTGATAAGTTCTTAACATCTCCAGATTGACTTATAGGTTGAATATTGCTTACCTGAAATGTTTGCGATTGGAAGTGCTTCAGATTCAGATTTTTTTTCAGATTTTGGAATGTGAGAATCTTTCTGATGGGATCTAAGTCTGAATGTGAAATGCATTTATGTTCACATTCGACTTATTCAGTTTAATTCAATATTTTAAAATACTTTGTGCATGAAACAAAGTTTTTGTATTAAGTAGCTGAAGGGGCTGGAGGGTCTTTTTTCCTATGGACACTGGTAAACTAAGTGTTGAATGCCTGAATTTGACCTTAACCTATCACATGAGATCAGGTTTAGAATTTTCACCTATGGCATTATATTGGTGCACAAAAAGTTTTGGATTTTGTATTTTTGGAGTACTGATATTCAGTTTCTCCTGTCATCCTTGTGGTGTTTTTGAGAAATAAGGATAGCCTAAATGGTCACTTTATAGGCATAGGCATACATACTAATAAACTATCATTTACTTAGCAGTTTAAAGGAACATTGGAGAGCTTGAGAGAGAAATTCTAAAAAAGAGGCAATTCATTGAAAAAACAAAATCACAATTTTTTCTGTCTTTTTAAACCTGTATTTTAGCCATAGTTTGTGATACCTGTTAATGTCAGCAGAGAAAGATTATCTGTAAGGCTAGTACTGGTTCTTCTGCTATTACCTACTTATTTATTATTGTGAATAGTTTGTAAGAGTTGTACAATGCATTAAGCAGTGAAGTCTATCTGGAGATAGTAGTCTATTATATTTACTATAGAAACAATACCATTAAAGAAGGGAGAACTATAAGTTCCAGATATTCTTATCTCCCAGTTTCTATTCATAAAATGTACTATATTAAAGAGTTCCTTGTGTTTTTTTACAGAAGTTCTTAAAACATTTTAAATTCTTTATATTGTTGCCTCATGGAACTGCATGAATATTTTTCTGATTTCCAGGCCTCTACTTCTGAACACTAATGGAGCCCAGAAGAAGAATTTATTTCAGCACATAGTCAAAGAACCAGCTGATAATCATCATCATAAAGTAACTCATGTATATTTTGTGTTTATTAAATATCTCAACTAAATTTTTTATGGTAGTATTTTATGAGGTAAAAGAAGCTTGGTGAATAAAAGTGTCAAGTTCTCATTTCCCAGCCTTGTTCCCAGCCTTATTAAGTCTTAAGATTTTTCAATATTTGCTTTAGATTATTTGAAAAAATAAATCATTACAAATATAGTTGTCCCAGTTTTCTGTTTTCAAGTTTTTCTTTCCTATCTTGATTCATTCTCGTGAACTCAGGAACAATATTTCATATTATTTTGCATGTATTTAAACTTTATGTAAATGATATCATTCTGTACATATTACTTTGTTGTATTGCTTTTTTTTAAATTGGTATTACTTTTGAGATTTATAAAACAGATTTAGTTTCAGTGAAATACAAATTGAACATTGTGATAATTATGATAGTGTAATGTGATTATATATTTTTCTGTTAGTTTGCTTTTAACTTTTCTTATAAATGTACATTGATTCGACTGATTTTTCTCTGGAAATTTCAAAATATTTTTGTTTACCTTCATTTTTGCTTCAAGTTATGTGGATAATTTGTTTTAACTTATATCCATTTTCATTACAGATTAGACTTAAGATTAGTCCAGAATCCAGACCTCTAATGCAATCTTATTATTGCTGTCATTTTTTTTTCTTTTTCTTTTTGGAGATGCTGAGGATCAAACATAGAGGGCTTTTTGTTAGGCTATTGCTTCATATTTATTATTGAACTAACAGGATTCATTTATGTTTTCTGGGACAAATCAATTAATATTAGACCTGATTCCTTTTCCTACTACTGTTCAGAAATAAGCATTCCTAATTGTTTTGTTTGTAGGACTAAAGTGGATGAAGTCTTTTTTTTTTTTTTTCCTAATTAAGTGGATTTATATATTGTAAAGTACTTAACATCTTTTACCTGTTATCTAGTGTTGAAATTTATGGATTGTTAGATTGTAATAATGATTTTAGTTTGCTTTAGAGAATTGAACTTTTAAAAATCAGTATGGGGGCTGGGATGTGGCTCAAGCGGTAGCGCGCTCGCCTGGCATGCGTGCGGCCCGGGTTCGATCCTCAGCACCACATACAAACAAAGATGTTGTGTCCGCCAAATACTAAAAAATAAATATTAAAAAATTCTCTCTCTCTCTCTACCTCTATCTCTCTCACTCTCTCTTTAAAAAAAAATAAATAAATAAAAAAAAAAAAATAAAAATCAGTATGGCCTGAGTGTATCTGTGGCTTAATAAAAAATTATTGCTAATACTCCAGACTGACATTTAACTAGAATAGTTGAAGTGCCATTTTTATTTTAGTGAAACCTTTAATGAATAATGATAAAATGTGTCAAACAGATCAGCTTGAAATGAAATAATGCCATCAATACAGTGGCCATCTGCTTATGCTTGAAATATATGAAGTTCTGAGACTTTTTTCTTCATAAGTAAATACTTTAGAATTTAAATTCTTCCCTTAGATACAGACATGCTATTTTCAGGGATCTTACAGTAAAAGTAGTAAAGTAGAGTGCAAATCATATGCCTTTAAGAATAGATACATGCCTCTGTAAGTTCATAACTGAATTGTTATTATTAATAGTATATAAATCACATAAGGACAAAGGACATAGTTGTTCTGCTTATTACTGTTTCCCCAGTATTTAGTAACTAGTATGCTTCTGGTTGTTTTAAAGTGATATCCTAGTAGTGTGATTTCAATATTTAGATATATTATTTTTCTGACTTTTTAGGTTCCACACAGTAGGACTGAAGGTTTAAAGCCAAGAGAGCGGATTTCAGATGACATTATTATTTATGATGTTACTGATGATAATGCGGATGAAGAAAATATCCCAGTTATTCCAGAAACTAATGAGGATGTTATATCTGATACCTCCAAGTAAGGAGTTTCTGAGATAAAATTTATGAAAGTATTTGTCACTTTTATTATTAAGTTGCTAAAATTAAAAACACCCGCTTTGTTCTTTGATAAATTAACATTTGTCTCATATTTGGAATATTCAACTGATAATTAAGCCAGTTTATTTAACCAGATAAAAAAGAAGTAATGAAAATACATTTTTTTTGTCTTTTTTTTTTTTTTTTTTTTGGTACTGGAGAGTTGAACCCAAGAGGGCTTTACTGCTAAACTATATACCCAGCCCTTAACTCTTGCTAAATTACTGAGGGTCTTGCTAAATTTGCTGCAGCTGGACTCAAATTTCTGATCCTGTTGCCTCAACCTCCTGAATTGCTGAGATTACAGGCATGTGCAACTGTACCTGGGTGGCTGAATTTTTTTATTTTAGAGTTCAACACTTTACATTGGTTCTTTGTAGGTCTTATATTCCGTACAGTGTCAATATTTGTGATTTAGCTACATACCCAAGGTACGTAAGCCTTTTGATACGTGGTTTGGGAAGAGTATCTGGAAAATAAATGGATAGAGTAATTTTATTGAATTTGTCTGCAAATGTAACTGCTTCTTTCTTTTCATATTGCTGGTCTAGCTGTAGCCAGTACCCTGATATTGTCATTGTTGAAGATGACAATGAAGATGAGTATGCACCTGTCATTCAGAGTGGAGATCTGAGTGAACCAGCCAGAGAATCCCTAAGTTCAGGCAGTGATGGCATCAACCCTCTCATGTCTAGTGCTGTCCAGCTAAATGGTTCATCCAGTCTGACCACAGAAGATCCTGTGACCATGATGGATTCCATTTTGAATGATAACATCAATCTTTTAGGAAAGTGAGTGCTTATCTAGATGTTATCTAAAGTTAATTGATTTCTTCACATTCAGTTTTTGAGTGATCTTCATTTCAGATGATAAACCCACTAGTCTACTTTTCTGTTTGTCAAAACGGAGTTCTCTAATGAAAGGGATTTGTCTTAAGAAGAGTCTTGGAATATTCCTCTGCAGTTTTTCTTATTTCTTTAATGAAATACTTGTTTTGAGTACCTTTAAGGTGTTTGTGATTATGTGTGTTATGTATTCATACCATGACTATGGATTAATACAGTTTCTCTATTAATAAGGGACTTACAGCATAAAGAACATTAGTAATTAGTAGTAATCAGATCAAACATTTTGTAATAGTATTGAAGAAGAAGGTAAATCAGACCGTTGTTTCAGAACTACTTTTCAGTGTATACTGAAGTTTTGTATAAAGGCTACATCTCAGTTAATCAAATTTTCAATATCCTAAAATCTTGAATAGGATCTCTTAAGATTAAGAACTGTTAAGGACTCAGCAATTTCTAGGAGTATTTTGCCTAGCCAATTTCTGTGGCTATTTTAAGTGTAAGAACAAGGAAAACTTATATTTACTTTTTAATTTTTTTTTTCTTTTTTCTCCTTAGGGTTGAACTGTTGGATTATCTTGACAGTATTGATTGCAGTTTAGAGGACTTCCAAGCTATGCTGTCAGGAAGACAGTTTAGCATAGACCCAGATCTCCTGGTTGATGTACGTACTTTGGATAATATTTGCTATGCTCTAGTAATTTGTGTATTGGGGTATATTATTTAAAAAATCAATGTGTATTGTTTGTATCTGCTCTGTTTGTGCTTTTTCTTTTTTAAAATGAATGGTTTTATGAGACAGGATGAACAAATGGGTTTGGGATTGAAAGAGAATGATCACTACTTGCCTGAGTAGCAGTTCAGTTAATTCTCTAATAATATATCAGTTCTATTCAACAGACCTAAATCCATGTCTTGTCTGGACTTGTTGTTCTGTTTAACTATGGAATAAATTGTCACTGAATACAGATCTATGGAAATTGGTAATAGTATCTAGTCAAGAGACAGCTTGGAAATATTTCTTAATACTTTGGGAATTAACATTTTTCACTCAAATTTATTTTGTTTGCTGTATTTTTATGTCTTGAGTCTCCAGGTTTCCCTGCTATAATTCTTATCACCATCTCTGAACTTGACTTCAGTGTTGTCTGGATTATGAATTCTACCTACCATTTCTGGTACTAACCATGTTTCTCATTCCCTTCCCTTTTTGTTTCATGATGCTACTCCCTCCATTATCCAAAGCTTTGTTTATACTCTGGCCTGGTCCTGTTCAAATGAATCTTGTTTTCTATTTCCATTTTTCTTTTGTGAATTGTTTTCTCTTCTGAAAAGAGGTTTTTACTTACTTTTTTTTTTGGTGTGTGTGTTTCCTGCCAAAAGTATAGCTTTCTTTCAATATCAAAAGATTCTACAGTCTTACCCTTGTAGGAGCCTCTTATTAAGGCTAAAAAGAATTATTTCTTACTTACTCTGCAGTCTTATTTCCAGTTTATTGATTTACCACCTTACATCTCTACTTCTCATTGGATTTTGTCACTGTTAAAAGGCTTTAGCACCCTTTCCAAACTGTCATTACTACACAAGATATATTTCACTTTCTTTGAATATTTCCTTCCCATGCTGCTATTTCCCATTTAAGTGAATTAAGCTTCTCCATTGATGACCTACTTCGTGTTAACAGTAAACTGAGCCCTTTTTAATTTTTTTAGCTACTGTTACCACTTTGAATCCAGGGAGTTTTCAGAATATTTGTCCATTTGGTTAGTAAGAATGAAATAAAAATCCCATCATTCTGGCCACCGATAAATCCTTGCATACTTCATTAAGTCATTTTAATTCTACTTCGAACATTAATCTTATTGTTTGTTGTCAACTCCCCCTAAACAGAGAACAATCCATCTGTCCTGGTTCTCTGATAATCTGAGGCCCAGTATCCTACACTATCTTTCTTAGACTAGGTCTTTTTTTCTTAAGGCCAATGTTATTCCTCTCCTCCCTCTCCCTCCCTCCCTCCCTCCCTCTCTCTCTCTCTCTCCCTCCCTCCCTCTCTCTCTCCCTCTCTCTCTCTCTCTCTCTCTCTCTCTCTTCCTCAATCTCTATTCTTGATCTTTCCTATTTGTCTTAAATAGGCATAGATCTTTCCCATCTTAAAAAAAAGCATGTTGACATTTTGCTCTGCTCATTTATTTTTCCGTCTGCTTTTGTTACTTCTTCACTGTAATGGTGTAGAAATCAGCAGCTACATTTTTTTTTTCTTCTTCGCTTTTTTAATCAGTTCACCAGGCTACTGGAAGATCCTGTTATCTTCTACTTATGAACATTCCCTCAAGACTTACAATAGTTTGTCCTCTTACTTTTTATATCTCCCTTCTTTTTCTACATGGAGAGGTTTTAGTTTGTAAGATTGCTCTGAAGTATGTATATCCAGTGCTTAACATTTTTGAAAGTAAACTTGGCTTAAATTCTATTTTCATGTCTTTGGAGTCATCAGATCTTGCCTCAGATGATTTGTGTTTATGTCAGACTTTTCTTTCTTCCCCAAACTAGCGACCTTTTACAGCTTTCTTGTATTCTGTAGTAATACCTGACTTTTATTTAGTCCACCAAGAAAGTTGTCACATAATTACCTTGATTTCTTTTTCTTTCTCTCTCTTTTTTTGATACTAGGGATTGAACCCAGGGGTGCTTAACTACTGAGCTACATTCCCAGCCCTTTTTTACTTTTTATTTTGAGACAGAGTCTTGATGAGTTGTTGAGGCTGACTTTGAACTTGTGATCCTTGTGCCTCCTGAGCCGCTGGATTGCAGGCGTGTGCCATCATGCCTGGCTTTGATTTCCTTTTCTTAATCACATCATTCACTAAGTCCTGTTTTCCAAAGTAACATTCACAAGCCATTCCAGCTTTATATTTCAATTGTTAACTTACCTCATCCAAAACCCTTATTATTTTATCCTTGAATAAGGCTATATTGTCATAAATAGAAAGTCCACTTATGATTGCCTTGTTTTCTGAAATGGCAAAGATAGTCAAGATATGAATATACAGTTCTTGGCTTTCTCTCCTATGTTTAGTATTGGGTGATCCAGAGTAGAGTCAGCAGGAGAGTAGCCTTCGAATTCAACTAGCTGTGTCAGTTTTTCATATGTAATCATACTAGTGGTGGTGGTGTTTTGTTGTTGTTGTTGTTGTTTGTTTTTTTTAATGCTTTATCACATATATCTGCTGGGAATATATATAAGAGGTCCCTGAGTGAGTAGGGAGCATGGGGCAAAGAAGGGAAGAGATGAGCTTATATCGCTGGCACTTTCAGATGCCACCCCTCAGCAGAAGCAAAATATAATTGGGCTTCTGCGGTACTGACAGGTTGAACTGGAATAAATAAGTAGTCATGTGTTACTATCTACTCTCAAGGATCTGAGCTCTTTTTCTCTTCAGAACTCGATAGGTGATATGGAAACAGAAGAAAGAAGTAAGAAAGAGCCAGAGATATTTTTAGGGTTACCATGAACTGTATGGAACCTTAAGGAGGGAAAGCAAGTCTAGAGAAAATGGAGAAAGGGTATTCCTATGGCTTCTCTGCTTTCATTTTATCCTGTGAACCATTTGCTGTGCTCATTCTTATAAAGGCTAACTTAATATCTGCAATTTCACCATATGCAACTCCCAAAGTTCTGTTGCTGATAAGATGCAGCCTCATCAATTGAATGGCTTTATTTTTTGAACCTATGTACATAAATACTGTTCAGGTCAAAACTTAAGCACTATTTGTGCTTTCCTTATCCGTTTCTGGAATATACTCTATCTTTGTTGTGGTTGTTAATGCTATTCCTATGTACTCATCCCTTCATTCTCTTTTTCAAGTCCTAGCTGTTTTCCAGGGACTGACACATATCACAAAGCTTTATCAAGGTCTTTTTTTGTTTCATCCTATGTGTTTCTTCGTGTGTGTTCTCCTCCCTTCTCATTTCTCCTTAGTACTTTTGAGCCTCAACATCCTTTGTTATAATACTGAATTGTATTTGAACATATGTTTGGCTATTCAGTGTTGGTCTTGTCTTTTAGATTGTAAGCTCTTAGGAGCAGGAATGATGTCTTTATCTTGTGTTCTTCGTGATTTCGATCATTTCTTAGATGTTTAGTAAATCTCTGGCATAATTGACTTTGAGGCTGATGGCTTAAAACAAAAATTATATACATACTGGCTAGACTAAGGAGTGCAGTAGGTAGTGGTCTTAGTACTTAAGGACTTTGTTAGGCGAGGTGAAAAAAAAATCAAGAAGTAGGTGTGCCACATTGTCAGAGGGCTCCACTTTATGTGTGGTTTAGGTGCCCCTGTCATACAGCAGATTCTATAAATTTCTTACCTAATACCTAGCAGGTATTCAGTGAAGGCTTAGTGTCAGGGCACAAATCCCAGCCCTGGGGACCACATAAGGCCAAAGGCATTTAGGAAGAAAAAAATGAATGTGAATGGAGAATAGTAAAGGAAAGGGGAGTTAGGGAAAAACACCATTTGTCTTAAGTGATTTACCCCACTGTGTTAATAAATTTTACAATATCAGATTCCATTTAATGCATTGGCTACCTTGCTCTGCTTTGTTTCTTTGTGGGTTTTTTTTTCCCCCCCCTGCTTTCTTGCTTTTCTCTTCCAATCTTAAGTTTACTGTATAGAAACTTCCTAGTGCAGGTATTACATCTCTTCACTCTACATGGTTGTATAAAAATTTTGAACACACAATTCTTTTTAAATATTTTTTAAACTTATCATCTTTCTTGTTTGGTCTTTCAGCTTTTCACTAGTTCTGTGCAGATGAATCCCACAGATTACATCAATAATACAAAAGTAAGTTTTAATTCATGTTGCTCAGGACCCATAGCTATAAAAATCTGAAAAAAAAAAAAAAGTCCTACTAAGTAGAGAGCAATATCATTTCCAGTTACAAAAAAAAAAAAAAAAAAGAAGAAAAAGAAAACACAACCACTTTATATTCTGACCAAATAATGTGTAATCAAAATAGTAAAATTCTAGATGAAAAATGAGCTTTTGATTGTGGGGTGGATCATTGCTTAATTCTACTGACACGTGAGATTAATTTTCATTATGAAATCAGCCTCTTTTGATACTGAGAAATCCTTTGACCTTGGCCTGTTCACGTGTATCATTGATAAAAGTGAATAATAGATGATTTCTCTGTGTTTTATGTGCTTCATTTCATATCCTTATTCCTTCTATAAACAACATGAGATTTCTTTTGAAAATTTATTGGTACCTGTATTATTCCATAAATGCTTCCTTCATTTTATTAGCATACATTAAAAACTCAGGGATTTGTACTAAGTTTGTACTATTTGGAGGAAAGGCAAATTGAAACAGTGAACTATGGATTCTGGACTTTTCCTTTTTTGGGGTACCAGGGAATGAACTCAGGGTCACTCTGCCACTGAGCCACATCCCCAGCCCTATTTTTATTTTATTTAGACAGGGTCTCACTGAGTTGCTTAGTGCCTCTCTTTTGCTGAGACTGGCTTTGAACTCACCATACTTCTACCTCAGCCTCCTCAAATGCTGGGATTACAGGCATGTAATCCTGGCTGACTTCTTTTTTCTTCTTTTAACTTATAAGAATTATTTTTTTATATACAGGTTTTTTTTTGTTTTTTTTTTTTTCTGCTACTATGCTACATCCGCAGCCTCTTTTTTTTTTTTTTTTGAGATAGGGTCTTGTGAAATTGCTGAAGCTTACTTTAATTTGGGGGTGATCCTGCCTCGGTCTTCTGAAGCAGCTGGAATTATAGGTCTGTGCCACCGTGGCTGGCAGGTTTTCATCTTTTTAAAAAAAACATAGGAATTTTAGTTGGGCTTAGCAATTATTGAAGAGATCTTTAGAACTGATTTTTGATGAATAGAAAGTATAATTTGAAGTTGTTAGAGAAGATGTTCACAAATTCTGTTACTTTGTACAGTTTATTGTTTTGACTAGGAATGTACTTCCTTTATCTTGCATTTATACCAAATTGTTTTTTAACCTTTGCTTTTGGTTGAATACAAAGGTAAATCAAGTTCAAATTTTAAATTGGATAAGGCAGAATTCCATTTTGATTCTTGTAGTCTAAAGATTTATAGCACATCTTGAATATGAGTGGTTAGGCTGATGGGGTTGAATTTTTCTATTACCATGTGTGATGAGAATGTAGCCTGACTGGGTTTTTAATATTTTCAGAGTTATGGCCTATCTAATTTAAAGTCTGAAGAATTATGAGTTTGTGAACTAGGAAATTGAGTATACATTTCAGGGTTTGGATGATTGGTATCAGGAATTGGCATACTTCTTCTTAAAGACCACCTAGTAAATTTTTTCACTCTGCAAGCTATATGTTCTTTGTCACAACTACACTATATTAAAGTTGTAGTGCAAAAGCAGATTAAAAACAGTATTTAAAAGAATGTAAGACTGTGTTTCAGGAAAACTTTATTAAATAGGCACTGTGCTGAATTTGGCATTTGGCCCATCATTTGCCTGGGCTTTATGAGTAAAATATTCTGTTGACCAGCTCAGCTGTTTCAGTAAATATGATCATATTATTGAATGTGACTGTGTTATAGACCTTAAGTTGAATGTATCCATATTATATATTAAGTTTGTCAGTGTGTTTTACTGTTTATTTCTGGACATTTGAGTTATTCTTGGATCATCCTATCCTCTTTATTCTAAAAGCCAATAACTTGAATGCAATTTTCAGAAATAGCATTAAACAACAAGTTGCCTTTTGTTTAATAGTATGAAAGAATTAAATTTGAGAGTAACTGTTCATTATGTTTCTGAATTCATATTGTTTTCAAATAATAAGCATATCAGCTATCATTGCCCTGGTCATGACAAGGGTTATATGACACAGATTATAACATTCTATTAATCAGGAAAGCCTCTACTTTTCACTATGGCAATCTAAGTGGTACACACTAATGAGTAAGAATTTACATGGGACATGAAACCCATTTATCATCCTGGTTCTGATGTTTTAGAATAACAGTGGCATCCTTGGAAAATACCTATTTTAGAAGGCATAAAATGTAATATTGTATTAATGTTTATGTAAAATCTTGGAAAGGCTTAGTAGTTTTTATCTTGGAACCCTTATCTTTTCTGAATCCTGAAAACTTGTACTGCTTTATTTTATGAATATAAGGGAGAATATAGGAATTATTATATAGATGTTTGTTACGCTATCTATAATTAACCAGCATGCAAAAATATGGGACTTGTGGGTACCTGACACTTGCAGCTATTCAAAAAAATGTATGAACTTCTGCATCTGAGTTTGAACATCATTGAAAAGATCCCTGAAGAACTTTGACAACATTAAAGATTTGTTTCTCTATTATAAGTACATATAAGAAGAGAGGACAGTGTAGTTGAAAAAAGTGATTGAAATGACAGAAAAGAACTCAAGACACAAAAAGGACAAGAAGAAACATCTCAACTTTGAGGCTTCCAAGTATAGGGATATTTATAAGGATGTCACCATGTCATCATGAACTGTTCCAAATATTTTTAATTTGTACTTAAAATTGTTTATAAGAGAAATGTGATATAGTTTAGTCAAAGTCATTTAAAATGAATTTAATTGCTTAAATGTTCTTTCAACTAGCATTTGAAACCACTTCTCTTTGATTCATTCCTATTTTTTATCCTTGAGAGCATCTGTCTGTTCTGCTATTGAAATGTCCTCCCCTTTTTATACTTATCATCATAGTTCAGGTTTTTTTTTTTTTTTTTCTCACTGTCTTGATGACAAGTTTTCTTGCTATATCTATTCCCAGTCTTTCCTCTCTTCCTCTCTCTCTGTTTTTCTTTATATTCTCCTTTTCCACTCATTTCAGATAGTATGTCAGTATTTACATATTGTATCAATTTTTAATTTTTTGATACTTTTCAGGAATATGTAAAATATGAAATAAGTGTTCTTACCTTTTTTTCCCCCCCTTTCAGTCTGAGAATAAAGGATTAGAAGCTACCAAGAACAATGTAGTTCAACCAGTTTCAGAAGAAGGAAGAAAATCTAAGTCTAAACCAGGTGGGTATAGAGATATTTATAGTTTGTGTAGTTTAGTAGAAACTAATGCAAGCCTTGAAAATTCTTGTTGTAATAACACACTGGAAGATTCTAGCATATAGAAAAAATTGAATTGGTGAGGTAATAGTTCTTAAGGTCTTCTCTCTTTTTTTTTTTTTTTCCTATTTAACTTTAGGAGACCTGAAATAACTTTCTTTCTTAATTGTTGAATAAGACTAACTTTTATGACTTGCATATTTAAGATTTTACACAAAGTATCATGTCATGTGTTTGGCTATAAATTTTTTTTTTTTTAATCTTTATAGACAAGCAGCTTATCCAGTACACTGCCTTTCCACTTCTTGCATTCCTCGATGGGAATCCTGCTTCTGCTGTTGAACAGGGGAGTACAACAGCATCATCAGAAGTTATGTCCTCTGTAGATAAACCCATAGAAGTCGATGAGCTTTTGGATAGCAGCCTGGACCCAGAACCAACCCAAAGTAAGCTTGTTCGCCTGGAGCCATTGACTGAAGCTGAAGCTAGTGAAGCTACACTGTTTTATTTATGTGAACTTGCTCCTGCACCTCTGGATAGTGACATGCCACTTTTAGATAGCTAAATCCTAAGAAGTGGACTCAACATGTATATATTCATCAAAATGATGAACTATTTATTTTAAAGTATCATTTGGTACTTTTCTTTTGTAAATTGCTTTGTTTTGTTTAATCAGATACTGTGGAATAAAAGCACCTTTTGCTTTTCTCACTAACCATACACTCTCGCAAAGCTTTGAAATGTTACTCAGCTGCCTAGATATACACAAAATTCAGTGCACATTATTGGCAAATCTTTAAGTTGGATTCAGATGGCCATGTTTTCTCCAGTTGTAATTTGGATTTCATTTTACAGATATGACCATTAACAACAGTTATTTTTGTTTTACTTGTTTGATGGTGTCTGTCTGCGTTTGAGCGTAAGTCACTAGAACTAATGATAGAACTTCTAAAGCTTTCTCTGTTCCAATTATTTTTATTAAATATTTTTCACTTGGCTTATTTTTAAAACTGGGAACATAAAGTGCCTGTATCTTGTAAAACTTCATTTGTCTCTCTTGGTTCGAAGAAGTTCATTTATGTTTGGAGTTCATTCATGTTCAACAGGAAGTGCAAAGTGTACACAAATACTCACAGATATGGTTCCAGCTCCATATACATAGAAAGAATGTGGGGATGAGTTGGGAGTCTCATCCACTTAGTTGGACTAGTTTTAAGTAAGTTTTCTGGTTTTGTGTTTTTTTGAACCATACTATTTAGTAAAATAAATAATAATGAATGTTGAGTACTGGTATTTGTTATGTGTCTTCTTTGGAGGTAATACCCACATGAAAGGAAGAAGGTGACTTTAAACTGTATGTATTGTCCATTATTATCTAATGTAACACCAAGATCTTTGCCTTGTCTGATGAAGTAGGTTGTATATTGCAGTAACAATAGAATATAGTGTTTCTAAATTTAATGTTTTAAAAGTTTTACTTTGTTTAAAGATAACACCAACTTGCTTTCCATGTTTCGAATAAAGAACCGAGAGATCTTATATGCCTCTCCTCCTTGTAGCTAAAGAAAGAAAATTATCAGGGGCTAACACTAGAGCCTTGTAATTTTTGCTCTTAAAGAAGACAGGAGAAATAATTAAATGACTTCCTCTGTTCCAAACAGGTGCTTACAAGAATTTGAGATATCTAAGACTAGGGTACTTTACCACTTGAAGAACTCTACCTTTAAGGCAGAGTGCTGGAAGCACTACAGTTAATATCTGTATATAGGGCTATTCAATGAGAAATTTAAGGAAGACCTTTTTTCCATTGACCCTATTGTATCTTTCAAATTTTTATTTTCTATCAAGATTCAAAGTGAGGTTTACTCTAGTGGGCAAAAGGCCCTGAGTTTCATTCCCAATATCATAAAGCAAAACAAAGGCCTAGCACAGAGGGATAGGAAAACCCTTCCCTAGTTAGATCCTGAAATACTTGGCTGACAGTGGGATCTTGATGATTCAGTTCAAGATCCTGGAACAGTTTTCAGCATGAACCAAAGAGGTCACTTTTCTAAAGCTTGTTAAAATAAAGATTTTTATGAACAGGAGAGAAACTTTCTCATTGCTTTTCTCATTGTGGGATATGATCAAGTTCCTTGTTGTTGGCGGCATTTTGGAGCTTCCCAATTGAATCACTCTAAAAAAACTGGAAAATGTTATTATATTGGTCCTTTTTAAGCTGACATTTATGGTTTTTCTAAGTTTAAATATTGAAGGAATTTAAGATTTTTGTTTTAAAATAACAACAGTTACATGCTTCTTTTAAATGTAATCAGAATACTAGAGGGATTTGACCTCATAATTTGCCTCGCTTCCCCAAAGAATTTTATACCCATTTTTACTGTGTGAAAAGTTATACATGGATGTTCCCGTTAACACTTATCTGCAGCTAAGAAGTTGTTTCTTTTAGCTAATATTTCTAGACATTTTTTAAAAGTCCATTTTCAGTTATACAGATTATCAGAATAATCTATTTGATTATTACCTGATTGCCAAACCATATATTTTTTTCACCTTTGCAATGAAATAACCACACAATTAAGTTCTAATAAATATAACAAGAAATGATGTATAGTACTATTCCTAAGTCTGTTGTGATAATCTTCCCCATGCATTCCTCCTTATCCCTTATTTCGCCACTGGCTTGATTCAGGACTTCCAAATATATATTCAAAAGGAAACTTGGGGCTGGGGTTTTGGCTCAGAGGTTATAGAGTGCTTGCCTAGCGCTTGTGAGGCACTGGGTTCAATTCTGGGCACCACATTAAAAAATAAAATAAAGGCATTGTGTTCACCTATAACTAAAAATATATATATATATGTATGTATGTTTTCTTGGCTTCCTTAATCATTGTTTTTAGAGCCACCCATTAGTCCTTGAAACCAATTTTAGACTTCAGATGAGAAAGAGACAAACCTTTCAATTCTTTGGACTCCATTAGAATTCACCATTAATTTTTTTTTAATGCTACGTCACTTAGAGACTCAATTTTGTTGAATGAATAAATAAATAAATATTTATCCCAGTTTGGGACATTAAAACAATCTATTAAATAAATAAATATTTATCCCAGTTTGGGACATTAAAACAATCTATAGAGATTTTCCCCAAGTGCTTTGGTAAAATTTATAATGAAGATGATGTGTATCTTTCTTTTAAGTATGGAAAGAATAATTGTTAAAAGGGATAGTACCTTGTTTTGATGCATATTTTTTCCACATGGATCAACTTTAGGGAAGAGCTCACATGAAGATAGAGGAATTAATGGCATTTCTTTAAAAATAATCAGACTTGTGTTTTACAGGGGTAAGTCTCTATACTATCTGGATTCAAGGAAGATGCTTCATTCCTCCATTTTTCTTTTGCCTTAGGGGGATGTTAAGTAGGACAAGAAAGAGCTGGTGACCAACAGCTAAACTTTCCAGTATATGTTCATAACAGATGGTATATGCAGCACTTTAAAACCTTAAGTGTTAAGGAAAAAAAGGGGTGATATGTATGTTTGGAATGCTACAATCATGCCTAACTAAGAAGGACTCTATATATAAAGACAACCAAAGGGATAAAAACCACCTGGAAAACAATTCAGTTGTCAAACCAGAAAATGACCAGTTAATTATCCAGTGCCAGGTTCTTTTTTATATAGGAAAAAGGAAGATCTGGGTATTCAAGTCCCTTCAATTTGAATTGCTAAAGAATTTAATGCACTCTCACTTTCTCTGAATTCATTTATTTAGGAGAACACAGCCATTCAAAATTGTGGAATACAATATTAACACAGAATAAAGTTGGGGAATTAAACTTGTTATGCTCCATTTGCATTAATAAATATTTTAAAGAAGCAAAAGTACATTTTAAAAGCTTTGTTAGATAATTACACAAATTTCTATGAGTTTTTAATCTAAATTAACTGTCACACTGCTTGATTTTCAAGGAAAGATTATAATAACCTATATATTTCAATTGCCTGGCAGTAAATACAAAAGCAGTTTTAAACATCTGTTGAGCTGTGTAGTACATTACTGTAAGCAAGAGTTTATAATAATCCATCATTCTGGCCTTAGTTTATGGATAGAAAGCATGCTGGACAGTAGCAACACATATTACATAAATTATCCAACATTAATGTGATACAAAATCAATTATACATGTAATTTAAATAGAAATTTTTTCAATGTCAGGATACTAAGCAATTTTGGTGGACTTAGAATTTCTCAGCTTTGTCATTAATATTAATAATCAATTGGAGCTATTTATGTCCTTCAGTTTCTTCAATTTTCAAATGAGAACTTGACTAGATTTTATCAATGTATCTTCTGAAGCCAAGTATTTTGTAATTTCTGCTCTATCAAAAGTTTCCCACTTTTGAATTGCAAAACTTCCTAAGTTTCAACAACTTCCTTCTAATCCACTTTTTTTTAAAACATTGTCTAAATCCTTTGGCATTCCAATTTAAACCCATACTTCGCATGATTTTATAATGACCAAAACAAAGTTCATTTTGTTGAAGAAGGACATCATATCTACCCAAGGAAGATAACAATCTCCAATCGCACTGAGTATTCAATACCACCACCAACAATCTGACTTTTTCCTTGAAGGTTCTATGCCTCAACCTCCATCCATAATCTACACCACTGTCCACTGAATATACCCTACTTGTGCTAAGTTCTCTACTTTTATACTAATGGTAAATCTTAAATGAATTTTGAGTGACTGCATTTTTAAGACAACTAACCATGTAACTGAACTTGTTTATACAATTTTAGAATAGCTATGTTCTTCATAGTCTCTCATAAGGCAACACATAAAATATTTCAAAAGGCAGCCATACACATTTACTTTTATGCTTTTTCTAAAACAGCTTAAGGAAGGTCTAGCAAACTTTTAAAAGCAAACTGACAGTTTTGTTTTTACTTTTAATCTCATACTTAGAGCAGAGAGAGGATAAACCTACCAGTGTCCACTTTATTAATTCACCACCATTATTCATAAAACTCTGCCTTTGCAACTCACTGTAATTCACATGATCAATGCACATGGCAAAAATATAATGAATAAAATGGCAAGCAATAAAATCTAATTCATGCCAGAATACCAGAGAAGTTACACAGGAAGCACACACATACACAATTTACAAAAGTTGGGAATACTGTTAATTTCAAATAAATGATGACCAAAGTAGGACTTTCATGCCAGAAGTCCCATTCAATCAAAATCACGATTTGTAAGAACAAGTGGTGCCACTAGTGTCCAAACATACAGCACGATGCCAATCCAACTAGACGATATTTTCACCCAGACAGCAGTCCACTGACTTTTCATCGCGTGAGAGGGCTCATACCTAAAATTTAAGGAAAAACAAAAAGGGAAGGTGGGGGAAGAGTGTTGTATCATCAGCCATAAAGGTACTAACTTTAAATACTTTAGTAGCAGCAATCTGCTGCTTTGCTTTCCACAAATTTAATGGTGTTTCTTTTAATGAAATAACATAAGCCTTTTTAAAAATATATATATACTTTTTTTAGTTGTAATGGACACAATATTATTTTTTGTGGTTCTGAGGATAGAACCCAGGGCCTCAATCGTGAGAGGCAAGCACTCTACCACTGAGCTACAACCCCAGTCCCAGGAACAAAAGCCTTTTAAGTAGTTCTTTTGCATGATTCTGAATCACTTTATATATTTCTTGCAAGTGAAACTGAATGTGACCTCTGTATAAACAGATAATACACATGAAGACTGTTCAGAATGTATATGGAATACCACACCCAACCCACTTCCCTTGCTTCTTAGATTTACAGACTGGGTAAGAAACAGACCCCAAATTGAGCTGACTTTTAAGTAATGAAATATACCAAAAAATCTTTGCTCTGTAAGTCTTAACAATTACTATTATCTAACAACCACACTGAATTATTGAGAACTATTAGGATTCTTGCAGCTTAATGATATGGCGTAGGAATTTTAAAAAATATTTTCAGTACTAAATATTAGTAAAAGCTGCTCTTAAAAAAAAAGGCAGCAAAGAATAATCTTTTTTCTTCATCTTTAGGTGGTACTGAAAGTAATCTTACACATTATCTAAGAATATTATGCATTAAAAAATAATTAAACAGAATTGCCTGATACATATAGTTCAATTTGAATCTTGAAGAGAATCTTTCACTAATCATTTGGACAAAATCATACTTTAGATTTTAAATTTTCTATTTCAGTCACTTCCAAATTTGGAACTATTTCAATG